GGAAGGGCGACGGAAGGTGGGGAGGGGAGGAAAAGCTAAGGAATCAAAGCACTATTTAATTCACAGCTGTTTTTCATTTTACGAAATTCAATTTTTTTTTAAATTTTCAGGCTGAATCGTTACTGAGCGCATTACACTACACAACCAAACATCTGAACGACAGTAATACGCCAAAATCAGTACGCGCACTTTTCCCATAATTTTCAAAATTCATGGCACATCTTTCCTGAAGAAATGCCCTTTCATCAATGTACGATTTCGTTTGGCTCGATGGATTTGCCCAAACAGAGTTGCTCGAGGAATTCGCACAGCAGCCTATTTGCTGTGGGATTTTTTTGTGGAGTTTTATGCTTAGCATGAAACTTGATGCTGTAGGAAAGTTAGCAGTCTTGAATGCGACACTTAGAGCCTTTCTTGGGCAAAAAACTCGAAAATTGGCATTTGTGCAGCACAAGTCCGAACTCAAAAACAAGTTAATTTTCTACAGCCAGAGAAGCCGAGCCGAGCTGAGTTTTGGAGGTTGCCGATAACTAGTCGCTGACACAAAAAAAGCGTAAGACAGATTCGAACTTTCGATCTTTTGTACGACAACAGTCCTGCTTCCTTCCCACTTCACGGAACCAACCTTCACGCACGTTTGGGTCCGCATACAAACACATGAAAGTTTTGGTGGTAAAATCGCTAACTTGGAAACCAGGAAAGCTGGAAGGCTGGAATTTTAGAGGGAGGTTCTCTGCCCCCATACATCTTAAAGTTATCAAATTCAATCCTCAAGCAGTGAAATAACAAGGCCTAGATTTTTAGATTTGGACGGTGCATTTAGCTTCATCTCTATCCAGATTTCTGCGTCCACACCCAAATTATTGCTTGGGACGAAGAGGGGAGGTGAACAAGAAGAAAAAGCACCATTCTCCACCAGTTGACCAAAAAAAAAAAACGCTTTTTTCTTATTCGCAATTTTAGGGTACATATTCCCAGTCTTTCTGATTTTGCTTTTTTAAAAAATTTATGTGCTTTTGTTTTTTTTTTGTGTCTCATCAAAGAGCACTCATACAGTGTAGTTGCATTTATTTTCCGTCCCAGTACCAGTTTTGTGTGTGATTTTATCACTTTTTCCAGCTTCTCCGTGCTTTCACAGCCAGCTTTCTATCCTCATAGTTCTTTTTTGTGTACTGTTACTGCTGTAGATTTTTTCTTAGCTAGCACTTTTTATAACATATATTTTGCTACTGCTTCACATTTAATAAGAACCTGCATCATCGCTTCTTTTCTTCAAAATAACTCCAAAAATCTACTGGAGCAGCCAAAAATCT